TTTGACCGGGAAGATTAAAGTTATTTCCAAAATTTTATTATTTCGAGTATTTTGGAATAGATGAACAATCCCTTTAAACTATTTTGTATAGTTTATTACAGTCTTTATAATTAAGATTAATTGAAAGTTACGGTAACAGTCCCTTTAACTGAACAGAAATAACACGGACAGTGTTTGTCTGTGAGAATTTGAGAAGATGGAAAACTAGGATGATTTTAATTGAAAAGGTATCAAGTTACCAAACCTAATCCATACCCGGAGATAGATAGATAGATAGATAAATAGACAGAAGATAGATAGATAGATAGATAAATAGACAGAAGATAGATAGATATATTAAGTAGAGTGCTTTAAGTTTGTATCCTGCAAGAGTATGTACAGAGCCCAAAACTTAAGACAGGGTATCGTTATGAAAACCAGTTATAAAAATTAATAAAGGATACACCATCTTTTGGTAATAAATCTTATAATTTTGTTGAAAAAAAATATAAAATAATATTTTTTCTGTATCCCGTCACTATACCTTATACCCCGGTCCTACTATTATTCAATTTGGTAATAAACGTCTGAAAATCTGCATATTTTAATCTAGTTCGTATTTTTAATGATGTATCGGACTTTTATCAATATTTCTACAACATATTTGACATTTTTAAGAAATATCTTTAAATTTGCGCCAATTTTGTCTATCTGTTCTATCTAGATATCTATTATATATTTATATATCTACTAGGCTACTAGTTTCGGGAATTTAAAAATTTTTTAAGCAAAAAAACAGACAAACAAACAAACACCCAGACAAGCAAAGTATATATATATATATATATATATATATATAACTATAAAGCACTAATCAGAACAGCTTCTGCGTTTTCATATTTATTAATACAAATTGTTTCAGATCTCTCGATCCTCACCAGTCAATATATCTACACATATACTTTTCTTTTCTGTTTGTCATGTCTGTCTGTCCGTTTGTATCCAATAAACGTCAAAACGGCTGTACCGATCAAGCCCAAATTTTGTGTGGAACCAAACGTGACTACAGGGAAGGTTTCAAAAAATTGCCTCAAAAAAATTTGATTTTTTGAAAAATTTGAAAGTCCACGAAAGTTTTTTTAAAATCCGCGACATTTTTGTTTGTTTTACAATGTTCTCAACTGAAGTAGAAGATGGGCGCGCAACGCCCTAAAATCATAGTATCTGTATAAACAAATATTTTAGAAGTACATTTACTGTTTCTAGATGTAAATACATGATAAATAACGAGTGTAATAAAGGAGAGGAAGATGAGTAAGTATTTCTGGTTCCAGGATCCGACACTACGATTTGCAGATTTCATAATCCTCGTTCTGGGATTTTTTCCTCTACAGAAGTCCCTTCTAAGTCTAGAGCATAGAGGAAGTCGAGACTGATGCTTATCTCCTTGTGTCTAAGGAAAAGGAGTAGAAGGAGTTCTGGTGATAATTGATCATTACTTACAACTACCATGATCAACCTTGTGGAAGGCTGGCCAGCGGCCATTTGAAGAGATCAGTTGTAGGGAAGGCTAGGCGGGCATATATTTAACCTGTAGAGAACTGGCGTTCAGGATATCTACGAGTAGGTTAAAGGTGGTAGCTGAGGATCCGACACTACTGATTTGCAGATTTCATAATTCTCGTTAGGGGATTTCTTTCTCTACAATATCACCATAGCCAGCAAAACTGCACAAACTAAAAATGTCAACCCTGGGTAAAATAGGATAGGCGGCTTATCATATAGTTTTCTGTCAAGTATTTAACGATTTAAAAAAAAACTACGGGCAACGCAAGGCAATTCTGATATAATTTGTCCAATTTTTTTGCAGATTATAATATTAATACTTGACGATGTAAATTATTAACAAAGATAAAGTGACGCCTGAACAGTATAATCTGTGATATTCTGTTTATTCTTAAGAAGACTGCAGACTTGGCCCCCTGCACTATACTAAACAAGTATAATTAAGAAATTAGTGACATAATTGACTCATTAGGAAAGACCAGTAATTAACTATAAACACGAAATACAAAATCTAACAGCCATGACAGACTCAACATGTAGACAAACAAACAGACAAACCAAAAACTAGACAATTAGTCAGCACACTAGACAACTAGACAACCAAAATGGTTTAATAAACAACTAGGTCTAGATAATCTTTAAAAAAAAACAGATAACTAGCTGACCAGACAGCTAATAAATAATACTACTATAAACCAAATAGATTAACAAGTACAATAGAAGGCAACAAAGAAATGGGCCAATATACACGACGTCACAAGTGTCAATTAACAAGGAAAACGAAATTGTAACACATTAGTTGGCATGTTTTTCCAAGATTAAATAAAAAGTGTGACAACAGAAAATAAAGAACATCTATTGTACTAGCATCTATTTGCTATAAACTAGATAACTAGCTGACCCAGACAAATAATAAATAAGACGACTATAAACCAGATAACTAGCTGACCAGACAACTAACATATAAGACGACTATAAACCAGATAACTAGCTGACTAGACAACTAATATATAAGACAACTATAAACCAGATAACTAGCTGACTAGACAACTAATATATAAGACGGCTATAAACCAGATAACTAGCTGAACAGACAACTAATATATAAGACGACTATAAACCAGATAACTAGCTGACTAGACAACTAATATATTACACGACTATAAACCAGATAACTAGCTGACTAGACAACTAATATATAAGACGACTATAAACCAGATAACTAGCTGACTAGACAACTAATATATAAGACGACTATAAACAAGATAACTAGCTGACCAGACAACTATAATATTAAACGGCTATAAACCAGATAAATAGCCGACTGGACAACTAATATATAAGACGGCTATAAACCAGATAACTAGCTGACTAGACAAATAATATATAAGACGACTATAAACCAGATAATTAGCTGACTAGACATCTAATATATAAGACGGCTATAAACCAGATAACTAGCAGAATAGACAACTAATATATAAGACGGCTATAAACCAGATAACTAGCTGACTAGACAACTAATATATAAGACGACTATAAACCAGATAATTAGCTGACTAGACATCTAATATATAAGACGGCTATAAACCAGATAACTAGCAGAATAGACAACAAATATATAAGACGGCTATAAACCAGATAACTAGCTGACTAGACAACTAATATATAAGACGGCTATAAACCAGATAACTAGCTTGAACTTGATAAATAAACAAATATACATTTAACCAAAATCTATACATTCAGACATCTAAAAAACTAGACAACCAGACAACTAGTCGACGAGACAACTAGACAACCAGACAACAAGACATCCAGATCACTAGACAACCAGACATACTGACAACCAGACAAAAAGACATCCATATCACTAGACAACAAGATAAGAAGACAACCAGATAACTAGTTAACCAGATAACGAGTTAACCAGATGACTAGTTAACCAGATAACTAGTTAATTAGATAGCTGGTTAACCAGATAACTAGTTAACCAGATAACTAGTTAACCAGATAACTAGTTAACCAGATAACTAGTTAACCAGATAACTAGTTAAGCAGACAACTAGTTAACCAGATAACTAGTTAATCAGATAACTAGTCAACCAGATAACTAGTTAACCAGATAACTAGTTAACCAGATTAATAGTTAACCAGATAACTAGTTAACCAGATAACTAGTTAATCAGATAACTAGTTAACCAGATAACAAGTTAACCAGATAACTAGTTAACCAGATAACTAGTTAACCAAATAACTAGTTAACTAGCAAACTTGTTAACCAGACAACCAGTCAACCAGACAACCAGTCGACAAGACAACTAGTCGACCAGAAAACTAGAAAATTTTAAAGATTTAAATTTTACGACGCAAAATATAAAAAATGTAGTAGCAGCTAGTTTTAACTTTTAACATTCACCGTCACAGAAATATACATAGAACCCTACTGGTTTATATTATTATCAAGTAATTGTAAGATTATACCCTTCCTTCTCCAAGATTTAATCTCATAGTCTACATCTATCTATCTATCTGTCTACAGATGGTATCTCAGATTTTTCCTCACGAATTTATACAAAAATGGTTGAAGGAATGTATATTAATCAACATATCAACATACATGCTATTAGAGCAAGGAGTTATAGAGGGAGAATTGGGGGGGGGGGGGTAAAACAAGGTTAAGAAGAGGGGGGTTTGTATCATTCAAAGAATAGTGTGTTTATTTAAAGTCATGAAATCTTAAAATAAAGTAGTTTCTTCTTTCACAGTTGTCCTTGAAAATGTTTACTTTTAGTAAATCCCGACAATATCAACCCTACAGTATTTACCAAATATATACAGTTATTAGTTACCATGTTTCTATCCCAAGTTACCATCCTTTTATCCCAAGTTACCATGCTTCTATCCCAAGTTTATGTTTCTATCCCAAGTTACCATGCTACTATCCAAGTACCAAACTTCTATCCCAAGTTACCATGCTTCTATTCCAAGTTATCATGTTCTATCCCAAGTTACCATGCTTCTATTCCAAGTTACCATGCTTCTATCCCAAGTTACCTTGCTTCTTTCCCAAGTTAGCATCCTTTTATCCCAAGTTACCAAGCTTCTATCCCAAAACCATGCTTCAATCCCAAGTTGCCAAGCTTCTAACCTAAGTTACCATGCTTCAATCACAAGTTACCATGTTTCTATCCCAAGTTACCATGCTTTCATCCCTAGTTACAATGCTTCTATTCCAATTTACCATCCTTCTCTCCCAAGTTACCATGCCTTTATCCTAAGTTACCATACTTCTATTCTAAGTTACCATGCTTCTTTACCAAGTTACCATGTTTCTGTCTCAAGTTACCATGCGTCTATCCCAAGTTACCAGCCTTTTATCCCAAGTTACCAAGCTTCTATTCTAAGTTACCATGCTTCTATTGCAAATTGCCATAAATCTGTCACAAGTTACCATGCTTCCATCCCAAGTTAACATGCTTCCATCCCAAGTTACCATGCTTCCATCCCAAGTTACCATGCTTCTATCCCAAGTTACTATGCTTCCATCCCAAGTTTCCAAGCTTCTATCCCAAGTTACTATGCTTCAATCCCAAGTTACCAAGCTTCTATCCCAAGTTACCATGCTTCCATCCCAAGTTTCCAAGCTTCTATTCCAAGTTACCATGCTTCCATCCCAAGTTACCATGGTTCCATCCCAAGTTACCATGATTCCATCCCAAGTTTCCAAGCTTCTATTCCAAGTTACCATGCTTCCATTCCAAGTTACCAAGCTTCTATCCCAAGTAACCATGCTTTTATCCCAAGTTACCAGCCTTTTATCCCAAGTTACCATGCTTCCATCCCAAGTTACCATGCTTCCATCCCAAGTTACCATACTAACATCTACTTTTTTACTCTACAGAGGTTTGGTCCATCACCATCACCGAATTTTAAATCTTTTATCCTAAGTTATCAATATTCTAAATTATACTTAGCTATGTTACCATTCAATATTACTATGCTACCATCCTAAATTTTCCCTTGCAATTAAACATCCTACCCTGAACTGATTAAACATGAACTTCCGGAAGTTTGAACTCTGTTTCCGGTTTCTCTGTATTCAATATATCTACTGGAGATGAAAAGGAAAAGGGTGGCACGCGTTTAAAATAAAGAATAGAAATGCTTGAAAGCCGGGGTTATGGGGAATAGAACTAGCTGACTAGACAACTAATATATAAGACGGCTATAAACCAGATAACTAGCTGACTAGACAACTAATATATATTGTGGATATCAATATTTTTGCTATGAAATACTTTTTTATTTAGTTTCTTCATATTCTCCAATTTTATCGAATCTCTTAAATCAAAATCTACAAAATATTAAGACTTCCAAAAGGAAACTCGAGAGTTTCGTTCAACGATACTCTTTTAAATTTCGAGCTTAGGGTTTCCAAAAAATATTGTGCTTCAGGATATCACGGTGTATCATGTACACTGGGAGAACTTCAATCAGTGTCTTTGAGCCCCATCTGAGTTTAAAGTATTCAAATGATGATCGTCTTTTGTATTAAATCTGCGTGCATGAAAACCGTTTGTTTTCATATTGCATAAACAGTATTTATGCTAAAACTTGTGTATGATATCTACATATATGAAGTAGTAATCTATGTGTGTCTGTTCGTTTTTTGTGTGTCCGATTATAACTCAGAACCCCCTGGACCTATTTGCTTCTAATTTTAATTGGGAAACTCGGTGAAACCATGGCAATGCATGTGTTCAACTTGGTTTAAAATTTTAGTTGAGTTGGTTAAAATTTATTACGAAAGTTTAGTGATCCTCCCACGCACCCCTGACCCTTCAGTAAAAGTAAATTAAACCTTAAGTTGACCGCGTCAACCTTGTTGTACCGGCTAGTCCTATTGAGTGTCTGCGTTATTCATCCAATGTCCGGGCGATACAGTACAAACTGGGACCGGAAAGATTGACCCGGCTCGAAAATTCAAATGTACTACGGCTGTTCGTGCTCCATCCAAACTGTGTTACTGAATTGTGTTCAGTTCTGGTCCTAAATTTTGACTTTTTATTTCTAATTTTTTAAACTCCATAATTTACTATATCCATTTTCCGAGCCGCAATGAAGGACCGTGTAATTCTCTTTGGACGCCAAAATAAAACCGTTAAACTAAAAAATAAATAGATTAATGCAATATGCAGGCTCCTTATCAAACGTTTAAATATTATTTTTCAATATTCAAATTTTGCATTTGCCCCCCCCCCCCTCCCCTGTATCTCGTCTAGACCCAGACTAGACATCATTAGAAAATATTACACAAAAATTGATGCAAAATTTAATAAAGGATACACCATCTTTTGGTAGGCACTTTACTCACATTTTCTTTTTTAATTGTCAACATTTTCTCTTTGTAATGTAAAACAAAAACAATAAAAAAATTTTGCGGATTTTATAAAAAACGTAGAACCATGCAGTAATATTAGTCTCATAGAACCATGCAGTAATATAAGTCTCGTAGAACCATGCAGTAATATTAGTCTCATAGAACCATGCAGTAATATCAGTCTTGTAGAACCATGCAGTAATATTAGTCTTGATTTCCTTTATGCCTCTCTTTTAGATGACTTGTTAGATTTGAGACTAAATATGAAGAATAAACGTTTTATTAAAAAGAATGTTTATATTTTCTCCTCCAAGTCAAAATACAGACGTCTGATCAACATCAGGAATAAAGAAAATAAAAATAAAAACAGATTAAAATTAAATTTTGAAAAAGCTTTGATTTGGTCAATTAAATGTATGTATAATGATTTTTAAAATGTTGTGTGTATATATATATATATATATATATTGTGTATAATATATAGTCTAGTAGTGTCTGAACTAAACTAATCATTATCTTGAATGATGACAAACGAATTACAAGTGTTGAAGGAAATCTTTGGACACATTAATTTGTATTTAGTTTATGCCTATTTTTCTAGATCTTTCTCGTATATCGAGGTCTAGTTTGTTTCGAATCTTCAATTTCAATTTCAATCCTAGACTAGGATTGATATTAGATATATGAAATTGAAGATAATTCCTAGTATTCTATCTATCTATCTATCTATCTGTCGATCTGCCCGTTTATAAAAAGTAGCGTGCCCAGGTGTTGAATTGAGGATTAAGTTAGAAATAATCAAACCTATCTTAAATCTATCTATCTATCATCAAATATATCAGCCTATAAGCAAACCCATTAAATCGATGAGATCGTTAGGAATGAATATAGACGAACAAATATATTTTTCTTAAACCCTGTTCATTTCAAATTCGATGATACCAGACCTATTTACCTATTAACAGGTTGAGAACCTATTAATGAATAAAGATGCATATATAACCCTGTTTTAACCCGGAATAAGATGTTTCCAAAACAAAAAGTTGGTTTTTAAACTTTCTGGTTGGGGGGGGCTCTTTATAAAATAGTTTTCTAAGAAGAAAAAGCGTTAATTTCACTTTGAGACGACGGGGCCGGGGGGAGGGGGGTTAAATTTAAGTACATTGAGTTGAGTTTAATTAAAGGGACTGCTGGCGGTATTTTTGGTGACATTCAAAAAGTGACATGAGTGACTTATTGGAAACATTTAAACCGTTATCATAGTAACAATGAAGCAGTTTTTATAGTTTTTATGTCATGAAAATATATCAATTACGTCAGAATTATTTCTTACCGTTGTTACATAAATCCAAAAGTCACTTTTTCCTCTGGCACGGTTTACAGGGTACCTTTGTAAATAAACCACTCTGTATAAAGATGTTCATGTCTACAGTTTCTTTAAAAATATCCTCATGAGGATTGAAAGGTTTCTCAGGTTCTAATACTTTCATTAAAAGGTTGAGGATAGGGTACTTTCACAATCCTGATAAAAAGTGAGGGCGTCATTTCTCTCTGATAAAAATGCAAGGGGGCAAGATCTCCGGGGGGGGGGGTCAGGTTCAGTTTTTTACATATTTTTTAAAATTTTCCTCCAGAGATAAAATTCAGCATTAATCATCCGGTTTATTTTTAGAGATTATTTTAAAAACTTTTGTTTTCATTTTTCCTCTGCAAAAGAGTCGAACATAGAAACTATTTTTAGAAATATAATTTGAACGTTAAAAGGTTCTACAAGTAGTCCAAATACTTTTAAGGGAAAGGAGCACAGAAACATATCGTGTTTAACTGTAGATATACAGTTATAGATTATATACTGATAGACAGTTTTCTATATAGATGTAAATATAGATGTATATAGATATATATTTATAGTTGTATTATACAATATTATTTTTTGATCCAACATCAAGATAACTTTTGAAATAAGTTTGTTCTCTTTATGTTTTAATATAAACGCTAAGAAGGGTTTACGACGTAATTCAAGATATCAAAACGCTTTTTTAGAATCAAATATGATCAAAGGTTGGGTTTGAATGTGTAACATCAATATGAGGCTTTCACTATTCTCATTTTTATGTCTAAACATATTGCTGTTAATACATTTTTTTATTCGATGTAAACAAATTCCACGAGAATTCGTAATAAAGGGAAGTTAACAAAACTTGATAATACTTGATTTTAAAAGTTTTGAGAAAATAGTTTTATTTATTGTATTTGATAGAGAACTGCAATTGAAAATGTTTTAAAAAGAAAAATATGTATAACTCCATAATTGTTGCTGATGCAAAGTTTTCAATGAATACTGAGAAGGTCATGTAACTCTTCAACCTTTGCCGATTTTAGTTTGAAGATTGAAGATTGTGTATGTATTGGTTTTATCTAAATATTGATGATAATAAAAGTAATTTCTTAGTTTGCAAAATGTTTTAGCTAATTTTGAATTATGAAAAAAATAGAGCATCTGTTCTCGCGATACGAGAGTCTCGTTTTAAAAATATGGAATTATGCAAGGCCTAGTTCCCAGGCAATAATGCTTGCGTGCTTACAAGCAATCCCTAAACTTGCCAATTTTAACGCGAATCTCAACAATTTGCAGAATCTATTCTTAAAAATTGCGGAGATTTTAGCAGATTAGAGGGGGGCCTCAAACCCCGAACCAGTCATTTTGAGTTTCCGGGGGGTTTTAGAGGATTTTCGGGAGTTTCAATGAGAGGTTTATTTTTAACTATTCAGCAAGGGTAGGAGAAGGTCATAAACAGCATTACAGATTAGCAGACAGTCAAATTTACATACAGACACCCTAACATACAGCAAATTAATATACAGACAGATTAACATACAAACAGAAAAACAGACAGACCGATTAACATACAGACAGATTTACAAACAGACAGATTATAATACACAAAAGACAAAAAGACAGAAAAAAACAGAAAAAGAGATTGTCAAACAATAGATTAACATGCTAACAAACAAACAGACTAAAATGTAGACCGAAGGACATATTACAAGACATTCTTAGAGGCAGGTAAACAGGCAAAAGGACAGACAGACGAACAAGCTAACGGACAGATAACAGCGTAAAGATTAAAGTACATATTCGGGTAGATTAACATGCAGACAGATAGATTAATAAAATGTCGGATATAATCACAGACAGCAGTATAAATCAACAGACTGCCAGACTGAACAACGGGCAATTGCAAAAGGAAAGACCTAGAAAGAAAAATTTAAAAATTTAAAAAGTAACAGTTTTCAATTGTTAAAAAAATTGCTAGAGCAAAAAGAAGATATAAAAGTAAGACGAAGTGGAGAAGGGGGTGGTTTGAAGTATATTGTTTAACAATAAATATTGTGAAGAACTGAAGGACTATAGAGAGGAAAGGAGGAAGGTTGCAATGTAGGTTTAACCTATTCTTCCTAAAACGCAGATTTTTATCATTCAGG